ATGTAGCAGGTGAATTTTTCATATTTGTTGTTATTCTGTTGACACGTGCCATCACATCGTGGAGGTTTCCTACAGGAGTTTTGTACACCTCCTGTTTAATCGTTCCCCATACGTAAAAATCCAAAGGATTTAATATTTTGTAATTATCAACAATCAATTTCTTTTCTAAAACTTTGTTTTTTTTGCGCTTTACAAAACAGCACAAGCGCCATCTAACGGCATTTGTTCCAATTGTGCTATTGGTTCTTGACGTTCTTCCCAGTAAACATGAAATATACATGAAATGTTTCAAATGAACCAGAAATTTATTATGAATGCAATGTTTCTTAATTACGTCGAAAATTTTCGTCTGAAACATTTCTAAAAATTGTTTCGCTAATGATGTTTCAGACGCGTGTATGTTATATCTAGTTTAAAACTATAATTAGTCCACATGCGCAGTAGCGCAATCCTACAATCATTCTTGGTGCACTTTGGTGTCCATGTGTGTGATGTGTGAATTTTTCATCGGTGCTCGGCCCTTTCGACTATTCGATTATTAAGTAGGTACTTATCGTGCAAGCATGTCTCAGGAACATCAACCAACACTGGTAAGTTAAAGTTAATTCCTCCGTCTGAATTTACCCTGTATTTCTAAAACATAACCTCACCTTTTAACCACACTTTGGCGCTAATTTTTGTGGTTTTTCGTGGGTGTTTTGTAGTTGTGACTGTTTTTCAAAGTAATGCAAAAATGAATAAAAGCAATAAACCATTAATCTCGAAACGACATTTACGTCGAATAGTGTCAGAAGAGTTCACTAAAATAAAATCAGAACTAAAAATCAGAACCCCATCAAAAAATCTAAGCACTGCTGAAGCAGAGGCTTCTAACAAGCAGGGATGTGATGACAACGCTGTTATAAACACTAATAATAAACAAACCCTAAACGAGATCGAAATATTATCGCAGTTGTCGACGGGAACATCTAATAAGGAATCATTTAACACTCAAACAACTTTACCAAAACCGTGTGTGGGTGGCTTATTTTATGAAAATAATTACGATATTCCCATAAATCAAATGAAAAATTTTCAAGTGGAAATGGTCAACAACAATCAATATAGAGAAAATAATGATAAAAATAATGAGAACTTTGTCCACACTATCACAAATTGGATATTAAAATACAGGGCACTGCTTTCACAAACTGCTATAAATGAGCTATTGGCTATTTTGAGAAGGAAAGGGTATGACTTTCCCAAAGACACAAGGTCTTTACTTCGAACACCAAGTAAACCGTCTACTGATGTATGTAATATTAAAGATGGTCAGTATTACCACTTTGGACTTGCCAACGGCATAAAAAAACTGTTACACCATGGAATGCATTTGCCTGACAATTTAATATTAAATTTGGACTTGAATATTGATGGTCTACCATTGGTGAAATCATCCTCGAGCCAATTTTGGCCGATTTTAGTGTCCACCAGTTTTAAAGAGTCTCGTTGTTCAACATTTTTAACTGGCCTCTATCATGGGCTTAAAAAACCGGATAATATAAAAGAATTTCTAAATCAGTTTGTGAAAGAATATAAAATGTTGGAATCAACAGGTATTGAAATTAGTAATGGAATTAAAGTTTTTCCAAAATTAAGGAATATTATTTGCGACGCCCCTGCAAAATCTTTTATTTTGTGTGTTAAGGGGCATACAGGATATTCTAGTTGCACTAAGTGTACGCAAGAGGGGACATACTTCAATGGTAGGGTGGTTTTTCCACTTACTGAGTCTACACTTCGAACAGATGAATCTTGCAAACAAAAAACCGATATAGACTATCATCAGGGAAGTAGCCCATTGGAAGAGCTTAACATTGGATTTGTAACGCAAGTACCATTAGACTATATGCATTTAGTTTGTTTGGGCGTGATGAAGAAATTGGTGACATTTTGGGTAAAGGGAAATAGAAGTGTCAGGATAGTTGATAACGATAAACTTGATACGTTAAAAATTAATATTGGACGAATGAAGACTTCTATTCCGCAAGAATTTTCGAGATTACCCAGAGATTTGATGGAAGTTGAGAGATTTAAAGCAACTGAATTCCGTCAATTACTTTTATACACTGGGCCAATTATTTTAAAAGACATTTTAACAATAGATCAATATAAACACTTTATATCTCTACATGTCGCTATCCGAATTCTATGTTCAGAGAATTTAATTGACAAATATATAGATTCTGCTCGCTTTCTTTTAAAGTATTTCGTTGAAAATTATGGTTCTTTATATGGCAAGGAATTTATTTCGCACAACGTTCATAATTTACTGCATTTGGCTGATGATTGCAAACTGCATGGGAGCTTGGATCACTTTAGTGCGTTTCGTTTCGAGAATTTTTTATATAAACTGAAGAAACTTGTTAAATGTTCTCGATATCCCTTACAACAGATCATATGTCGTTATCAAGAGAGAGCAGGTTTATYCAACCCTTTAACAATTCGTTACCCACAGCTAAAAATCGAGATTGATGGGAATATCAGATTTAATGAAAAKGTYATTWGWTTTAAAAAGTTACTCTTAAAAGATTTTGAAATTACACTTAACGACAAAGACAACTGCGTTYYTTTAAAAGATAAAAGTTAYATGTTGGTAACGAATATTTTTYAAGATGATCAGAAGAATATTTTYATCTACGGAAAAAAATACTTAAAAGCTTTACCACTGTACGATCTTCCTTGTAATTCTTTAGAATTGTTTGGTATAGCAGTGTGTGAAAAATTGTCTAATTATTTTTGTAAAGCGTTATATACTGAAATTCATCGGAAATGCTTATCTTACCCATTAGAAATTAGTAAGCGAATCATTGTGCCTTTACTGCACAACGAATCAAATGATGTCACGGAAATTTAGTGTCATCCATATTTACTATTAATCTAAAAATGTTATCAAAATTTTAGTTAATTAGACTACATACGTATATCATTACATATACTTCTTATATTAAATCATATTTGGTCTTTATCACGTTATTAATTATATTTTATTAAATTTTTTTATTATTAATCGGATAAGAGAAAGGTAAGGCAACAATAAATAAATTTTCTTTCAATTTCGTTATTTTTAGTGGACTGTAGTGGAATTTCTCAATGCAAATAACGAAGATTGCAAAGTCATTTCCACAGTGCCATGTAATTGGCTTTTCGAAGATAATGAAAAAACATTTTGTTATTGGCCTCCAAAAAAAAAGTAAGAAAAGAAATAAAAATTTGCGCAACTCCTCAAGACAACTGGGACACTCATATGGTTTACCCACTGTTGGATTCCCCAGGTATTTTATTATACTTAGTAAAAAACGTTTAAAAATATTAATTTAAAAAACGCAGTTCCTTATAAAGATGCTATCTGTTTTGAAAAAAAAAAAAAGAGAAAGAAACGGATGAATCGGAAGAGGATCATGCAGATATACTCGTAAGAAGAAGAAAAAAAAGAAAAATGGATAGTGACTTTATCTCTTCATATGATTCCGCTGAAGAAAATATTTTGCCACCTTTACCTAAAATACCTCTACAAGCTGTAGAGACCCCAAGGTCAATAGGATCAGATGATACTTGTAAAAATATATTATGCTTGTTTATTTGAAATCATTATATTTTGTTTCCAGTATCAATGAAATCGGCAGATCTGATGCCACCACCGCCACCTCCACCGTCAGTTCCTGGTTCTTCATCAGTAGGTAAAGCTCATAAATTGATACTGTGAATACTATTCATATCATGTATTATTTTTTTGTAGAAATTGTTCAAATTGAATTCGCCGAAAATTTACCTCTTCAAGAATTACAAATCGAAAACAGTTGCCCTCATACAATAGGTAAAAAAATAATAATAATTAACTGGTATATATATTCAACAATTTCAGTTGAAGAAAACCAACAAGTACGCGATAATTATGTGGAGAATGTTTTGGATGCAATTCTAAAACAAGTAATAGAAAACAAAAAATTATTAGAGACCATATCCAATCAAATGCAGAGTATAAAATCGGGTAGTGCGGGAGAGATGGAAAAAGTATCAAAATTTGATACACTTCCAAAATTTGGAATTAAAAAATATTCAGAACTTCTAAAATATGACCAATTGGTCCTTAATTGCGCCAACGCCCAAAAACAATTGGTAAGAATTGTTTTTTTAATGTAGAATAAAACAGTAAAAAATACTTTCAGGAAACAATGTTTCAACTTGTTGGAGGAGCCACAGAGAGGGAAAACATTAGAAGAGGCGAAGATGAGACAGTGGTAGCGCAGAGCGCCACCTGTCGGTGTGTGGAGAATCCAGACCTCTAAACACCAGTTGATGTGGGGGAGCCGGCATTGGTCATGTAATTCAGCGCCTGGCGGGGTATTTGCCCGAGGAGTAGCTGTTTTGGCTGATGTCGGTTTACCTCTCCCGGTGGGCGTTTTTGGGAGATTTGCTTTGCAAATTCCCAGCCCCCGGTG